GGTTGAAGACTAAGATCAAGTTTATAGATGAGCAACGGGTGACATACTTTGTCAAACGCTTTAGTGAAGTCGGGATATATAACATCCACATTTTTATTTTCACTAAACGCTTTTGAGGTAAAGGTTGTGAACTCAAGTAAATTTGTTGAAGTTGATTTGCCTTTGCAAAACCCATGTGGACAGTATGAAATGGTAGAGGAGATAGAATGCGTCAACTTATTTGTAATAATTGCTTCAAATAATTTAGGAATTGCAGAGAGCTTAGCTATGCCGCGATAGTTCTCCACCGAGGACCTGCTACGGCTTTTATGTAGCGGGTTTTTGAACGATTCCTTCCATACGGTTGAAAAGATGCCTTCTTTAAGAGACAAATTAAATAAGACTGTTAGCACAATTTATAAGAAAACATGTGGGGATCTGGTCAGGACCATAACTAAACACTGCTTTAAGGACTTCAGGTAAACTAATACATCATCGGGAGATATTATTGGGGTATGTATTGAGTTAATTGGACTTAGTTTAAAAGAATAGTCAAAGTATGCTTGGGAGTTAATGGAGTAATTGGATTTTAAAAACTGAGCGAACATGTTAGAAATTGTTTGATTATCACTAGAGACGGTATTTTGATAAATCATGGCGGAAAGAAACCCACGTACATTTCGTTTGGAGTTCGCGAAATCATAAAACGATTTGGGGTTATATATTATACGTCGTTTAATTTTACACAAGTAAGCTTTATAACACTTTTTGCTTAATTCAAAGAACTTGTGATGCAATAGTGAGTATTTTACATAGTATGAGTGTAAACCGGTTTTTTTATGTAATCTAAAATAACGTGACTTTCCGTTTTTCAAATTTCTCATTGCTTTAGTGAACCATAACTGTGCAGGAAAACACATGCGTTTAGGCACATAATTTTCAAATAATTCATGTACAGTAAAATTAAAATGTGCAACGCTTTGCTCAACCTTCTCTTTGTATATAGGCCACGACAATTTAGACAATTCTTAAATCAGTTTTTTTAAGTTGGCTTTCGAAAAATCAAAGCGAATATAATTTCGTAAGATATCTCGGGCCAGACTAGTGGGTCACATTTTTTTACAGCGGACTTAGATGCATCATCAACACAAACAAGATCTAATACTTTGCCAAACTTATTGCGAAGTACATTAACTTGATTTAGGCAGAGTTCAGCCATATTGTGAATACACTGACGAGTCAGATCGGGGAGTAATATAACATAGAGCTAAGTAAGTAAACCGCCTTCCAACCTGTATACGAATGTATTTGAATTCTGCAGATTCAATGTGTATAAGACTTAACTTCTTCAGATGGTATTGAAGAGTCTACGGCAAGGAGTACGCCACCGCCGATTATGCTCTCCCGATCTTTTCTGTAGATATGATAATTATTTGAAAGAATCTCTGAATTAAAAATGTGAGGTTTGAGCCAAGTTTCAGTAAAAGAAATTATATTATAATTGCTTTCAAATCCATTAAGATATAAGTGCGTTAATTTAGTATTTAAGCCTCTTACGTTTACGATAATAAATACTTTTAGTAATCAGTTTTTTGATTCAGTCTTCTGACGGGGAATATTTGCTAAATTATTGTTTTTCTTGGGCCTATACTCAAATTCACGAACGAAAGCAGCATGTCAAAATTTTCTAAATTTACGTCTATTTTAAATAAATAAATATTTATTTCATATTTAAAATTAAAATTTCTGATACTTAAGTTGATAGTTTTATTAAATTTGGACGAGATGTAAAACTTTATATCGTCTTCGGAAGTATCCCTTTTTGTTGGGCCTATACTCAAATTCACGAACGAAAGCAGCATGTCAAAATTTTCTAAATTTACGTCTATTTTAAATAAATAAATATTTATTTCATATTTAAAATTAAAATTTCTGATACTTAAGTTGATAGTTTTATTAAATTTGGACGAGATGTAAAACTTTATATCGTCTTCGGAAGTATCCCTTTTTGTTGGGCCTATACTCAAATTCACGAACGAAAGCAGCATGTCAAAATTTTCTAAATTTACGTCTATTTTAAATAAATAAATATTTATTTCATATTTAAAATTAAAATTTCTGATACTTAAGTTGATAGTTTTATTAAATTTGGACGAGATGTAAAACTTTATATCGTCTTCGGAAGTATCCCTCGAAAATCTAGAGACAAATATACCAGTCTCCTAATATCAGACTCGATTACCGGCGGAAGGGGTTGAATAACTGAGTTACTAATTGAGGGTAGAGTAAGCGTTAGAGGATTAGATGACGGTGTAACAACTTCGACGGGGGAAGGGGAAGATACTTCAGGCTCGTTGTTATTAGAAGCGGAAGCAGACTTTGTTATACGTTCTTTTGAGGATGACGACTCCGATGTCTGTGGACATGGAGAAGAGAGGTTAATTAAGTCATTCGGAAGATTGTTCTGACGTGGAGCGATTATCATTTCATTAGACGGACTATGAAGATGCTTGAGTTTTGACACACGAATAGATTGTACGGTATCTAAGCATTTAAAAGATTTAAACACATTTTCATAATGCTTAAATTTTTCGGTCAGTACCGACAACTCTCTCCCCACCTCGGAAAAACCATTTCTGGTTTGCCTAAACAACTTAAAGAGATCAACTTCGGTTGACCTGCACTTTAAGCAAGAACAGCGAAGACCTTTGCCATCATTAATAGTGTCCAGAATTCTACCTGTCCAACCAGTACATTTTAGATGGCAAATACCATCACAGAGCTAGCACGATAAGTAGCGTTCAGAATCGCTTTTAAATAATTTGGCAAGTATCAAGATCGCACTTCAAATTGAAAGATTAAATTACACTTGTTCATAAAAAGACAAACAAAATAAATTATAACAATTTAGAAGCTGATGTAAATAGCTTTAAATAAATGTAGCGAACAGTTTGAGAAGTAAACAAAAAGAGGAAAACAAATGTGCAAAAGTAATAACGATTCCAGTCAGTCCTGATATATCTTCAAAGGAATTACAACAACAATGATAACAACAAATGCCTCGGCAAGATTAGATGTATGCTATTTATGGAAATTTAATTAAATTTAATATAAAATATAAGATTTTCACTTAGCTTCGATTATTTTCAAACTAAGATGCTTGTAGGCACTTTTNGTGCTATTTATGGAAATTTAATTAAATTTAATATAAAATATAAAACTTTCACTTAGCTTCGATTATTTTCAAACTAAGATGCTTGTAGGCACTTTTTGTAACAACTTTAACTCAGAATTCGCACAATAAACTTTGCAAATAGAAAGACAAATCAGAGACAAATATAACTTGAACCTCACAGCTTGACGTTTGCTTTGCAAAAAATTTGCTAAGTCCAAATCTACCCTATATATAAAAGTGCATATAGATCAGTGCAATTGTAAAATTTAACTATGTAATTAATAAAGGAAATATTTAGACGTTATTTTATCTCCTAAAAATTTACAGAAAATGCACTTTTGAATCCTTAAATAGCGATACATTGGAAATAAATACATAAGTAAATATGTCACTAGGGTCAACAGTTTCAAATCGTAAGAAAAGTTTGAGAAACCATTTATAAGCATAGTCTATTCGGATGTTTGTGTTAAAACTATCAAAATCCAAAGTACCGCAAAGCATTTGTACGTAATACTAATGTACTATATCGCACGTTTAATAATATAGAGATGTAACCCAAAATTTATGTTTTTGGAGATTTCATTATGCAGTAATAAGCTTGATAAGTAGAATATGTTCAGTCTGACAGATAACCAAACTTCCCAAATATGGCGAAGGTATATGTCTTTTTACCTGTCTTCCCACAAAATTTAAATTTTGAAATACTTCGTTATATTATTAAGCGTGCGATATGTATATATGTAAAACATAAATCGTAAATGTCTTTTAATCTCCGTAATCATATGAAATACGCACACTTTTGCTTTTGTTTACATGTTTTACATTTAGCAACATAAATCAAGGTTATGCTTCGAGTTTCATCTAGGCGTTCATCAAACCGAAAGCATATCGTAACTACAACTTCATCAATTTTAAATTTAAATGTGTGGGGAGGCCCAAATTCCTTTACCACCTGCCTCCCCAAACGCCTTGGAGTCCAGAGACTTGTTGGCGCCAACTTGCGTTTAGTTGCAATTTATGCAAATTTCTCTTGTCAAATGGTTGCAAACAAATAAGGAGTCCGACGTAGGAGAAAAGCAGAATGGTTTTTCCAACCCGCAAAGAAATTATTTAGAACTTAAGCCGCAAGACGCAACCAGCCACTCTCAGCTAAGAGGTTGCTGCAGTTACATATTTTGCCAGTGCTGAACGCCGAGATTGCGGCCACTAACGTGCGAACACGCGTGCGCGCATGTATTTACATACGTTTGTACTCGTAGTCCTACTTGCATTTACTTTTAATATGCACACCTGGCGCTTAACGATTGCCGCTTGCAAGTAAAAGCCATGAGTAAGCGTCTGTTCAAAGTACAACGTGACATCATTTATGTGCGCTTATACATAAATGGTTAGATATGTATGTGTGCGTATCACCTTTAATGCGCATGCGGCTGTTGAACCTAAAATTATTAGATTAACATTTTGGAACCCAGTGTCTGTTGATACTTACCAAATGCCGCGCAACGCAATGTCATGAGTGTGTGTGTGGCAAACACGGCTGCGGTATGATGTAAAAATACATCCCGCTACTAATTGTGTTGATTTAATGCTCCTGACTGACGATATGGCGCGCTTGCCCATCTATTTCTTCATTACCCTCGCTCCTTTGCAAAGTGTACACATATCCCAGCAAAAACTTTAAATTTTTTGTTAAGGACTTATTTTTGTATCAAAGGAGTAATGCAAAACAAGTCGCCTCAAGATAATTTTCGCTTATCCATTGCATTACATTACCTTTAATGCAGTGGGAAAGCATTTCTACAAATTCTCGCTTACCTCCAATAGCATGCCCAGGTTAAATTACCTAATGTCTTCTGTAAACCAGAAGTTATGTGGTGAATTTCGAAACGCGCTTACCAATCGAGAAAACGAGAAAGTGCAAAATTTTGTCTTGCGGCGTATTGTAATGCGTTACTCCATCGATACAAAAAGTAAGCGCTTACCAAAGAGTCAAAGTTTTTGCTGGGTAGTAATCAAAATGGTCCAAACATATGGAGAAAATATGGATGCATTACCATTTCGATGTCGTTGGACCTGACTACTTCTTGTCCAACGCTATATAACATGAAACCACTTCTGGGCCACCGATGCATAACATGGTACCACCTAGACAACTACTCATTTTGGTTCATGGACGGAACTTCATAAGATTTATATAAACCGAAAATTTGACCATTTTTAAAGTGCTTTTTAAACTAAGATACTAAAAATATTATTTAAAATGCATTTTAATAAAATTCGCTTTATTAATATTCACATTCGGCAACCGAATCAAATTGCCGATGGGCCACGAAGAGGTGGCGTTCAACACATATATCAGTCTTTTACGCTTGAAGTGGTCCAGGTCAGCATAGCAAGTGACTTGTATGCAACCTATTCCTTTTGTACATTCTTTAAAACTACGTCTCAGTAGTAGACCACCAGGTCCTCAAAGTTTAGCAGGGTTGTGCATATCTACATGCACACATATGTACATATATAAGTGCTTACTTGAATATATGTATGTATGTAAATATGTGATATTATATGCATTTAGGTGAGATGAGTACAGGTAATTTAGTGAGCTACGCGAAGTTTGGTGTATCAGATGCGTTTTATGGCCGCCAACCGAGACGTTGCGAAGATGAGGTGTGTGTTTATTGCGGTACTCATCTGAGTTTGCTCAGTTTATGTTTCACTTAAAAAGCGCAAAATAATTTCAATATAAAAACTGTACAGTAAGCATCTCATTCGTGATTTTTTAAGCTTTTTGTGATCCTGTCAACCCCTGATTTTACAACCCACCATCCCCCTCCAATATTTTTGAATACGTTTTGTTTTAGAGGTTATGAATCTCAATTTACTTTTTCTTTACCTATGTATGTCTTCCTTTGAAGAATAAATTAATTTGCATGAATTTACTGATTTGAATAAAAAATTTGCATTGTATGTACATATGTGTGTGGGTCTGTTTTTTCCACTATAAATAAAACTTACTCAATCTCTAAAACATTGATGTACTATATATTTTATTTCTAGTTTTATAGTACTCGATTGGCATCACAATACTTATTGNGTTGTATGTACATATGTGTGTGGGTCTGTTTTTTCCACTATAAATAAAACTTACTCAATCTCTAAAACATTGATGTACTATTTATTTTATTTCTAGTTTTATAGTACTCGATTGGCATCACAATACTTATTGCGAAGCTATTGTTAAAATCCATTCTATACTTGCATTATTTTACAATTGATTGCGATAGGCAATTTTTAAAATTTTCTTCTCCATTTTTTGCAGGTAAGAGATACTCAGAATCTCTTGCGGGCTCGCTTCTTCCGGATTGGTTAGGTAAGTATCCAAAATCGTATGAAAACGAATACCAATTTTTGATTTTTTACAAACCCCGTTTCATATTATTTTGTACTTAATATATTTTGCAAGTCATATTTACATATAGGCATACTGGAATGTTTCAGATTTTGTTTTTCAAATTGTCTGTTTAAATTGTGAAATTATTTTTAAAATTGATAGATTTTTTCACATCGATTTTGCTCCATTGAGACAAATTTTTACATGGACCCTCTTTGTATTTTGCAAACTGGTTCATTTTTTTTAGAATACCGATTCCCAAGATAAATATCAAATTGGCTTCTTAGACATTTATAAGTGCAACCAATACACTATACACTTAAAAACCAACGTTCACTGTCATTGGCCTATACTTGCGATCAACTACACCACCATCACTTACACAGGCATACAATTAAACATCGCAGCAAAAAAGACACATTTTTATTGCATTTCCAAAACATTTCGCCTCCCTTTACCCACTCGTTCGACACTAAAATGCGCACAACTAACTGACAATTGTCACTAATTAACTCAAAAATCACTATCCCAGACATTTTTTTACAAATAGAAAGTAAAACAGCTTTTTTTGAATTTTGTGTTGATTAGCGAATGCGTGTTTAGTTTTCCTCTCTGAAGAGAATATTAATTTTTGAAAATAATGGTCAAGTACTATACCGAAGAAGCAATGAACACCTTGGTGGTGCTGGGTATCCAACGGAGAAGGTAACCAATTTAAGTCTTTATACAGTTCTACTTATGTACATATACTTAGTAGATGTTGTGTGTATGTGCCTTAAGTAATACCCTATTTTTAAATAAATATTTAATCGAATGCCTAAGCCCGCCCACAATGACACCATTTTATTTAACACATGTATATCAATATACACACATATGTATGCACGTAAGTGCATATTTACATATGTAACATAACAATAAATTGCATGCGCATGAGCAAAACTTAATGGCAAAGGCTCTTTTTTAATAAACTTTAAATCATACCAAATTAGATTCAGTTTAAACTTTAATGAATATTGGCAGAGAGCATGCAACAATTTGTTGCACTGTGAATCGTTTAATTGACAACCTGATAAAACAGTGCAAAAATTTTGTTTAATAAAACGCCATAACATAAACAAGAATAACAAAAACTAACAAATTAAAATAAAACACAATAGCACGATGGGACTTGTATACCTGGTTATTGCAAATGTATTGGGATCACGCAACTTTGAAGGCGGAAGAGAGTTGAAAACAATAAAACAATCGCCTCAAAGTAGCGGCACTAAATACACATTTATAAGTACATAATTTGCAGTCGTTTAAATGCATATACACACACATAGTACATATGAAGCCTTAAGAGTCAGAGTAGCCTAACTAACATAAANCGCCTCAAAGTAGCGGCACTAAATACACATTTATAAGTACATAATTTGCAGTCGTTTAAATGCATATACACATACATAGTACATATGAAGCCTTAAGAGTCAGAGTAGCCTAACTAACATAAAAAAAAATTTAGGTAGAGCTTCCTATATTACTAAAAAACAATTTTTGATAGATATGCTCCTCTGGCTCTCACGGCTCATATGTAAGTAATAAGATTGCTCTCGTACACTACATATTGCATATCGAAAGTATTTTGGCAAAACCTCGTATCTCAGAAATCACTAATACATACTTCGTATCTTGTAAAATTTATTAAAAATAGGCCTTAAAATACTAGATGCGATTCACTTTATATTTTTCTCAATTAACTAAAAATTACTTAATCTTTAATAATCAGTAAAAAAGTTATTAAACATGATTTTCTGTTATTGATAGAGAGTGTTGTTCGGGAGTGTTTTGAGATACAAGGTTTCGCCAAAATACCGTCGATGTGCATGTGTATGTGAGTGCCCATACATATTTATATGAATATATCTTTACATATGTTCGGATAAAAACATTTCTAATCAAAGGCATAAACGATGCGACTATTCAACGTCACAACCGGATCTGCTTGAGAGCTTTCCGCACGGGATGGACACATATCCACTTTACTGAACTACATTGTTAGGGAACCACTGTGATACAAAATACGCGTTGAGGTACTCTCTAAGGTACGGTGACCATCCGTCCTGTATTATACGGGGTAGTCCTCTTTTTTGACCCATTGTCCTGGTAATTTATTTATTTTATACGGGACGCCAAATGTTCTCTATTTCTTTTAATGTCCTGTATTTGTCCCGTACTCGGTGTTCCGACGCCTTAACAGCTCATTAAAATGGCATGCCTAGGAACCAGTTTTAAGTGATGTTGGTATATGATCGTAATTTTCTTTATAAACAGTTGTTATTTTCTAATCTGAANCTCGATGTTCCGACGCCTTAACAGCTCATTAAAATGGCATGCCTAGGAACGAGTTTTAAGTGATGTTGGTATATGATCGTAATTTTCTTTATAAACAGTTGTTATTTTCTAATCTGAATGCCTGTGATTCGAATCCAGGAATACATACAGTGGCCAAAATATAAATTAGGACTCGATATTTTAGTAAGTTCTGGCTATTTTTCCTTAGTTTATTTAATGTTTATTATTTATTTTATGAAAGTAAAGCTCATTTCCTAACAAAAACAAAAAACTAATTCTTCAATGTTTCGCCAAAATTTCAAACTTTTCAATTAGAATCTTTAGATACTTTGTAACTCATTAAAATTGAGTATAATAAAGTGGGAGTGGAAAGTGCTGCTCATTTGCTTCTCTTTAAAAAAAAAATTTCCGAACATACTTAGTATGAAAGATCTGTAAGCTGTTGTGAAAAAAATTTGCAAAATTATTTTTTGTCCCGTATTCGGCTCTCATAAATATGGTCACCGTACTCTAAGGAGATAAAAAAGGTTTGAGTTATTCAAAAAAAGGTGATACTTTGACGCCCCTAAAAATAACCTGAAGAATTCAAATTATTTCAAGTTAATGTTTGTACCGGAGTAAATTTTTTGGAAACTTTGTTAAAAATTATGCAAACTTGTCGATAAATCAATGTATAGCTCCTAAACTACTAACCCGGTTGGAAAATATTGTTCACGTAGATAATAGAAAATTTAATTGCTAACAGAAATTACATTAGTATTGGCCGACTGTACCCAAAGAAATTTGCAATTAAGTGAGTGCACCTTTTTCAGATCCCAAAAATCTTCTCCATTTCCAATTCATAAATTACAGATTTATTCTCTTGCCTTGTCAACCTATTACTTCAATATCCATATCACTGCGAAAACTTGAACCAGTGTTAGAGTCGTTGGCTGTTTCCTCAAAGCACTGCCAAAACTTTCACTAGAGTATTTCCACGTGATTCAGCTGGTTTCTCCATTGTAACTGATTTATATGAGTAATAACAATATTTCAAAATTCAATTTGGGCAGCAGTCTACCGAATATCCGAATCCAGGTCTTATTTTTTAAGTGGTATCCGGAGTCCGATAATCCCGCAAAATTTCTGGCACATCTCTAGTATAAATGTTTGTTAACTGCCTGAGGCCAGATTTCCGATGGGTGTAGAAATGACCAAAATTTCAATGACAAAGAAGAATTAAAAAATATTTTGGTCATTATGTCAAAAGTATTTCCACAATGCGCTTTTTAAATGTTACAAATGTTTTGCCGCTTCAATGCAAATGAGTTCGACATAACACATGCTACACTCAGAATAAAATCGGCCAAATATATTCTCTCAACACATAATTTGGTAATTATAACCAATTCTCGTGTTGATAAAAACATATTTAGTTGACGTAACTGTACTCTTCTCTCAGTGTAGTATTTATTAGAAAAATTAGCATTCAATTGTAATACTAAACAAATTTAAGTAATTGAGTTATTTTTTCTATATGAATCCTAGGTATTATTATTGTAAGGGGTGTTGTGAAGTAGGATCTTATAGAGTTTTTGTTTCTTCCAAAACTGGTTGCCCATCCATATTTGCAAAATATATTTAATGCTACACTCAGCCCTGTAAAATTCAGGGTTGGGTACGCTGCACTGAATTTTAATTGAAATGTACTACCACTAACCATATAGTTGTAGTGAAATTTGAAATGCACTACCATTGAAGCCGTACAATATTAAAATTAAATAGAAACGTAGTATGATCTTACTACAAACGTCAACGAAAGCACTGTATATTGGAAAATATTCAATTCAATTACGCTCATATTAATATGACCGCATTCGTTTTGAAAAAGCATGCGTGAAGTTAATAATCAAGATAAAAAAAAATATATATATATATATATTTAAATTACATGTTGCCTGTAGAGGAATTTGAACNAATGACCGCATTCGTTTTGAAAAAGCATCCGTGAAGTTAATAATCAAGATAAAAAAAAATATATATATATATATTTAAATTACATGTTGCCTGTAGTGGAATTTGAACCCTGAACCTCTCTAGATTTCAACAAATTGTGGCAAGCATCTTTGTTTGTAAACGAAAGGGTAAGCGGTTACTCTCGATTCGGGAGCCACTTTTTGAGAGCAACCGCTTACCTTTCGTTTACACAATGCATTATTTTAAAATGTGCATGCCATTGGAGGTAATCGAATAACTGTAAAAGTTGCATTAAATGTAATGCAATGTATAAGGCGACTTGTATTGCGTTACTCCATTGATACAAAAATAAGTCCTTCCCAAAAAATTAAAAGTTTTTTCTGGGGATGCGTATGTACACTTACATATACAGATGCGAACAGTCAAATACATGCGTAATAATTTTTTGAATGAAGATATTATTTTTAAATACGAACATTTTTAATCTATAATCAAATATGAAGTACTCATTTTTACTATGCATTATTTGCCTCAGTGTAGTGGTAGTGAATATTTCGATTTAGTGCAGCGTGCCCAACTCTGGTAAAAGTGCATGTTTTTGTCTAGCTCACGCATTTAATAATAATATCGTTTTAAGCAACTACGTGATTTTCAGGGCAACCATCTCCCCCTGACAAAGCTTCAAA